AAGTGAACTTTGATCTTATGTGTAATAAAATGTCTTTCTTTGTGTTCAGGTTTGACTGTAGTAAAATCAATGCATTTCAAACCAACATTTCATACAAAAAAAAATCTAAACCTATACAAAAAGTTGTCTTTGAGAATGTCTAACCATAAATTAAATTCCACAACTTGAAAAAAAAACGTATTTATGTCTAAAAACAACTAGAAAATTTATAAGCCTTTTATATAGAGCTATATAGGAATCTAGTGGCTAAACCATGGAATTGCAGATGTTAGCTGTCAAAGAGCCCGTGAACGATGATCACCGGTTTATACGCGACACACACACACAACACACACACCGCAACCAGCGACCACACACACACACACCCTTCATCATAACAATAGCAATAAAGATAAAAACAAGGTCTTATATAAATAAACCTCCAACAATTTTCGATAAAATCAAAACAATAACGTTAGAAGTAATCCATAGGGAGCTCCTGTATTTCAGTTACTGCAAACGCAGTTGCGCTGTGCGTTCGACTCCGTCTATCATATTTAGGGCTATATGTGTCTATTTGTGCAGGAACTTGTTTTTTTTTTTTTTACTCCCACCAGATGGAACTAATCGGCCTTCAGAAATTGGATTTTAAAGGCATGGTCTCTTTTTAACATGAAATACTGCCAATATTGAAAAGTAATAGAAAAATATTATTAAATAGTTTTGTATTATTTTCAATGGGAAAATTTATCATAATTACTGCATAAATAATAAATAGTACCATGAAATTCTCTCAAGATACAAAATAAAAAAAATAAAAAAATATTATTGAACAAAATATATTACATTGATTTCACTGAAAATAAAAAAAAGTTACATTTCAGGTGTCCGGTCACTTTATCCGTGCTCAGTTGCTCTCCCAGACATGAAGCTGAGTTCTGATTCTATTCTGCTCATAATACCAAGTGATACTCACTGCAGAGTCAAAATGTACGACTTACTCTATAATTTCTTAAATAAATAAATACATTATATA